CATCTGTGGCAGCCGGGAGGAGTTACAGTCGGATCCAGCTGTTTCCGGTTGAGCCTGAACCAGCTTCCCCATCATCCCCTCTCTCTCTCTCTCTCTCTCTCTTCTCTCTCCTGCTCTCTTCCTCTCTCCTCTCTGGCCTGACGAGGAAACTTGATTCAACCCAAACGTCGGATTCTATCAGTTTGATTATAAGCTGGAATCTTCTCTATTTTTAAGTTTTTTTTGAGCTTTTTCATCTTCCAACCACCACCGGATCATCCCCTCCCACACCTTCTCCACGGCTGTTCACAAAACACACTTTTCAACCTTTGGTCGTTTTTGGGCTTCGCCATTCTTTCGGGGAAACCCAAACCACCACCGGCACTCTGTGCGATCAGAGACGTTTCCTGGACTGGAGGCCGACGGACTGACGGTTTACTGTATGGATGAGTCTCTTTATCCGGGCTGGAACCTGACGGAGAAAAACACACAACACAAACACTGCGATGCTTGGCTGAAGCCACACACGTCAATTCAGGAACTCTGGGTAAAAATAAGTTCTGTGGTTGATTTATTCCCTTCTGTGCCAGGTGGGTGGAGGCTGGGTGGGTGGGGGGGTTTCTCTGTACCTGGACGGGCGTTAATCAGAGACAGTTTATCCAAAATACCTCAGTTTTCCGGTGCTCCACAATTTGTTAGAACATAGCTTTCTCTCCCGTCCAGCTGCTTTCCCGCACTGAGATCAGCTTAACGCGTTCCTAACCAACAGGATAATTAAAGGTTTTTAATTAGTTTACCTTTTACCTTTATTTTGATCACTGCCCTTTTTAGTGCCAGATTGGTGGCGTCATTTAGCAAACAAATGCAAAGAAAGATGTCCTTAATATAACAATAACAACAAAAATAATAAACTGTAATAATAATTTTAGTTATATAGGGCCAAAAGAAAGTTACAAAGTGCTTAATAAAAAAAAGTAAAATATAAAATAAGATTAAAACAAAAATTTTATTTTATTTATGCTTTCTATGATAAATAGATTTTAAAATTACTGTAAAAAAAAAAAAAAAAACAGGGTCCCAATTAGAGGCAGGTCTCCTTTACTAGCCTGGTCTGGATTTTAAAGTTCTTTGGATGAATAAAACCTCTTAAATCCCACCAAATCGCCCAGAGCTCTACACGAATATTCATTATAGGGAAACTATGAGCACAAAGTATAATTCACTCAGATTTATCCGAGGTATCTGTATCTGCGCTGTGAGAGACTTTTTTATTAGTTTCATATACTAGAAACCAGTTTATTTTGTATACGTTTATTTGCCAACTGTAAAATATCAGCTCAGTACGAATCAACATCACTGTTCTTTCCAAAAGGAGTATTAAAAAAATATATTATCAGTTTCCATCAGGCTGTAATATCTGAGATACACACAACTCTCTCCTTCCGTAACCGTTGCTGTGATCCTGATTTCGTCCCGCCGTTTTCCTCTGTGGTTTCTTTACGGTCCAGGATCCTCTTTAGTGTTTGTTTCTGTAAAAACGCATTAGAGTAGAAAGAGGCAGAGGTCAGATGTTTAAGGCGGCATGGACAAGATTCAACATGTGGGGGGAAGACAAGAAAAAGAGCGGGAAGGTGTTTGTTGGCTGCGACTTACTTTGAGTTTTGGAGGGAAAGTTTGGTGAGCTTCAGGGCGGTGCTACTGAGTCTTTTTAAACCACAACTGAATAGAAGTTGTTTTAAACTAAATTATAGTTTTCACGGGTTAGTAACACGCCTGATTTTCATCTGGAAACAAAGCGCTTTTTGTATTTTTTGAAGTTCAGACGTCTTTTCTTGGTGTTTTTTGCCGTCAAACATAAGATCATTACTGTGGTTCGAGCTGTTTGTGTTTGTGATCTCAGACTTCAACATGCACTGATCTCCAGTGAGAAAAGTATTTATTTTGTGTAGAAAAAAGAAAAAAGCCTTGATAACTGGAGCTGAAGATCATAGTGGGTCTGCAGGTCACACATTCATGTGTTTTTTCACTTTGTGCGTTTTCACCCTGAACTCAGCGGTTGAAGTCAAACAACGTGTCGTTTTCAACACGTTTCTGTCTCCAGTTTGAGACACAAACAGCTCCGAATGTATCCATAACAACACACAGTGTCCTCAACGAGACGAGTGTTCGAAACCGACTCTAACAGCCTGAAAGAGAAACTGCCCTCATTGTAAATAATAGAGACAAACACACTGTAAACATTTGTTTTGTGAGGGTACGTGGGGTTTTTATTGCTTATCTGATTTTTGTTTGTTGATGTTTACAGAAACTCTTCCTTCTCATGTAAAATAAAAAAATATAAGATAAATCAAATCCATGTCCAGTTTAACATCCTTGTAAAGCCATAAAAGTTGTGGAAATATTTTCCTAATTTTGCCTCGTTTGTTGTGTTTTTATTCATTTACTTTCCACCGAGATTGACAGCCAGTCAGAGTCTGTGCAGCTTCAAACCGTCCAATCACAGAAAGAGGTTTTCTTTTAAACTGTTGGACGGCTGTGTGTGTTCTGCGGAAGTCGAGGGCGTGGCGAGATGATGAAAGACAGTAGATATTACGCACACACACACACACACACACATCTGTCTCAACATGTCATCTCATCTCCGTTTCAGTCTTCAGGATGTCTTTTTAAAGCCACAAACTGATGGACAGATCTCTTTGTACAGGAATGAGCAGCTGTCAGGAGGGTTTTATTGTTCTCTGATGCTGTTGAAGGTTTTACAGTTTTAATACGTTATTGTGTTGGTGAATTAGAAAAGAGTAAGTTGCAATACAAACATTTATTTGCTCCATCAGGCGAACGATTCATAATGAGAGATCTTAAAGAGGGAGTGGCTACACAGCTGCAAACAATCATTCCACACATGCAGTAGGAAGACACCAGGGACATCCATGGAGGCTGTCACATGGTCTACTGAAGGTCTAATTAGCCCACAGCCTGCGCCCGTCCCACTGACTGTGTGTTGGTACGCTGTATTCCTGTGGGTCAGCTCAACCTCCTGATAAACTGAGAACACGCCATGGTGCTTCCATCCTCGTAGAAGCACACAGATATATAACAAATATACACCGTATGGCCTGTTTCTCTGCATTTAGAGTTTAGATTATTATTTAAGATCTGAACACAGATTATATTCACAGAGCCTCGTCCTGCTTTAGAAAACAACCAAAGAGCAAACACTGAATGTCAAAAAAGAAGCTCATTAAGTTTTATGATTGTTAGAAATGATGTAAGTTGTATAAAATAAAAAGTTAATTTAAAATAAACTGAAATAATCTCTGGTTTTCCACAAACTTCCTGCAGTTATTGAGTTTACTGTTTGTGTGTTCATTGTTCAATTTATCAGCTGTTCTCTGCTGTTGCTGTTGTTATTATTATTGAATATAGTAGAGTAATAGAGTCAGGGGACGCTGCCTGTATGTGCGAACCCTGTAACGTATATAATGAATAATGAAACGTATATAAGAAATGTGTCCAGTAGACGGGATTAAATGCACATACATGGTCGTATC